TCGACCTATTTATCTCTATCTCTATCTCTATCTCTATCTCTATCTCTATCTCTATCTCTATCTCTATCTCTATCTCTATCTCTATCTCTATCTCTATCTCTATCTCTATCTCTATCTCTATCTCTATCTCTACCTCTATCTCTATCTGTCTATCTATTTACCTACCTATCTATCTATCTGTCTATCTATCTATTTACCTATTTATCTATCTATCTGTCTATCTATCTACTTGTCTATTTATTTATCTATTTATCTATCTCTCCATCTATCTATCCATTTATCTATCTATATACCTATCTATCTATCCATCCATCCATCCATCCATCTATCTATCTATCTATCTTTCTTTCTATTTATTTCCTATATCTCTTTCTCTCTCTCTCTCTCTCCCTGTGTCTCTCTATCTTTGCATATATCTATCTATCTGTCTATCTCTGTCTATCTCTCTACCTTTTTATCTATCTATCTGTCTGTCTATCTGTCCATCTATCTATCTATCCATCCATCTCTCTATCTATTCCGTGGATGTGTCTGCCCTACACATGTCCGTGCATGTGATTGGAATTGCAGTCGTGACGGAGCTTTCGTGTGTCAGCCCTAGTCCATGCAAGCATGTTTATGACCAGGGGCGTGCGACTCTGTACGTATTTTTTCCGACGTCCCTTCAGAGCCTGCTGCGAAAATGACATGATGGAACCGGAAGTATGGGTTTTATTTCCCAAAGCCTGATGGCAGGCGAAGGTTGCCCCGAATGTGGTGACCTACGGAGCTGCAATCAGTGCATGCGACAAAGGCAGTCAGCATCTTCGTCAGCATCTGAGAGTTGTTGGATTCCGGATTGGACCCCAAGTTTTTTGGCTCGGCAGGGGGTGCCTGCAGCAAGACAGGAGCCACTTCTGCCCTTTGCTGTATTCTCCGTGATGTTCGTTTGGGCGTTCAGTGCCTAGAGTGGTAAATTGAGCAACCTGAAGCTGAAATGCTTTGTGCAGATGAAGCCCGTACAACCCGCGTGAAGTATAGTCACCGGTCTTCCAAGATGTGAAAGCTGCTGGATGCTATCTCTGTGATCTTTGATCATTCTCCTGAGGCGTTTTTTATGGGCTACAATAGGAAGTCTCAGGTGAGTAGATGCCTCATGTATGCTCCAGATTTTGTACTGACAACTGCAGGACAGACCACGGAACCTGGACTCTTGTCTCGGGTTTACTGGGGAGTGGTGTCCCTTGTAAACATGCAAGACGGAACGTGCGCACCAGCGCTTCCACCAACTACTGCCAGACCTAAAGTCGAAGCCCAGGTGGCAGCAAAGCCTGGACTTGCTGAAGCTCATGGCCAGACGCAGCTCGTTTGTTTTGGTCGTGTTTTTGTCGCCTCGGGTTGGGCGCCAGAAAAGCAGTTAGGACAGCTTGCTGCACGGTTTACCATACGTGGAATGTCGTCAAAATATCATATGTAATAGTTCGAACAAACATATGGCAGTGATAGTGGTAATAATCCGAATTATCATAAAATACATGCCAAGTGGGAGCCAAAGTATCATTATCACTGAGCTGGTTCTTGCAGTTTACGGTTGGTGCTGGGCGCTTGTTTTCGAAACGGGCTAGGCAAGTTGAGAGAGGGGCGACTAGAGACTCGCGAATTTGAGAAAAGGCGGCGAACAGTTGCAAAAGGATATGGGGATTTCGAGAAAGGGCAGCGAAAGGACGGCAGCCGTCAGAAGAGAAGCGGAACTCGCCAACCGTTCCATAGGCGAGCCAAGAACTTGACAAAGGCAGAACAGCATTCGGAGAATTTAAATTCGGATTCGTGCCAGATTCCATCTAATCCGGATTTCAATTCCTGGGACACTGGCCCGTGCGTGCTTCGACTTTGATGGTTTCACTCATGCTACAGCGTCGTGGTCCTGGACCTGCTGATATGCTAAACTGAGATCTACAGCGCTGCTTCCGAACTCGGAGATCAGTGATGGATAATCTGAAGCTATGGTTTCTTTGTTCGCCAGTGAACGTGCTGTGCGACGCAAGTTGTGCCACGGCATGGCTCATGTTGATAAACTTGTGTGCCCATTGAACTCGTTGTGTACTGGTGAGCGTGAACAAGGTCGCCGTGCAGTTTGTAGAATTACGTCTGTTGCAGGCAAGGTGCCTCCAGATCGTGTTTGTGCCTTGGCTTCGGAAAGTGGTTTTCCTAAGCAGTCAGTTTGGGTGCTGTGTACATGCCTACAGGTATACATTATACAGGGTTCAGGGCGAACGATTATGGCTTATGGGGCTTTGCGTTCGGGTGTAGGGTTTGCTTAATGTTATCTGTTGCCAGCCAAAATCATTCAGCCTTTCCTTACCCCCATTCAGCCCTGGAATCGGAGCGTCGAAGCATACGCGCACACATCGCGCAGCCACTCATCATGTTTCTGACCAGCCAAGCTGGACGTCATCATTGGAAGATCAACTTCCAGGGGTTCTGAAGGACTCAAGGCTCATCCATTCTGCTGTTATTGTTGAACCTTTACAGGGCAACTGGACTCTTCACACATGCAAGCACAGCACAACACTGAAAAGTACATGCACTCTCTCTGACTCAAAAGCATGACAATTTATGGTCACAAGCTGCACTATAATGTGCTCATGCCGACCACTGCAGGTACGTTTACCTGTCTCAATTTCACGGAGCTTCGTTGGCAGAGGCCGTGAAATGAGACCCTCTGCCCCCTGCAGGAATGCAAACACTCTGGGTCCTCTTAGTAACAGAGGTCCACACACACACACACACACACGCACACACACAAATTTTATAAAAGTATATGTATACACACACGCACCTATGCTGATCTATACATGTACGTATATATAATATACACACACACACATATATATATATATATACATAGATAAGTGTCGCGGCTGACAGGTGACTGAGTCCGAGAAAGAGAGAGATAGACAAGTGTATATGGATATGTAAAGATATGCATATCCACTCACATATAAATGCAATTATAGTCGCACATATACATATATATAGAAGACATACAGAATCATGTAAACATGAGTACCGAGCATACGTATTTGTATATGCTAAGTGCTCTGAAAAAAATATATGCATAATTGACACACACACACACACACATATATATATATATGTATATATATATATATATATATATAGAGAGTGTAACGCGCTG